TGAGTTGGGTGGTTGTTCTTCAAATGTTCAGCCTAAACAATCAAATTAGCATCATATGGTCACTCGGAGTAAAAGTGATATTTATAAACAAAATGTGTTTCATGTTATGCAGTTCGATCATAGTATTATTGAGCCTGCTTCGGTTTGGCAAGCTTTTGAATCTCCCCACTAGCAGCAAGCTATGAAAGCCGAATATGGTGCTCTATGTTGGCCAAACTACTATAGGTTGTAAGTGGTTGTTTCGTATCAAGAAAAATCAGGATGGATCGATTGTTCGCTACATGGTAAGGCTTGTTCCAAAAGGCTTCTTTCAAGTTCCAGGGTCGGACCTTCATGATACTTTAATTCGATTATAAAACCTTCAACAATTAATATTATGTTATCTTTACAGTTTAGAATTGTTGGGAACTCGGACAGGTGGACGTTAATAACGTCTTTCTTAATGGAAAACTTCTTGAGGAAGTGTTTATGGTTCAATCGCCAGGTTTTGAATAAGAGTCATCTAGTGGTGAACGACTTGTTTGCAAATTACAAAAATCTTTATATGACTTGAAACAAGCTCCTTACAATTGGTACTCAAAGCTTCGATCATTTTTACTTAACATCGGATTTGTGGGGACTCAGGTTGATGTTTCTTTGCTTATTCGTTGTGATGGTGAGTGTTGTTTATACATGCTTATTTATGTTGATGATATTGTTATCATTGGCAATTCTAATTAGTTGATTGAGGAAGTGGTGCAATCCCTTAGTCTCAAGTTTTCGTTGAAGGATCTTGGGGAGTTGAGTTTCTTTCTTGGTTTAGAAGTTGAGAGGACGAATGGTATCTTAAGGCTAAGTCAACACAAGTATATTCGTGAGTTGGTTGATCGGGATGATATGGTGAATGCTAACTCAGTTTCTACCCCTATGATTTTTTTTACCGAAATTAGCACAGGATGCATGTAAGCCTCTTGTTAATCCTCATCTTTATAGGAGTACTGTTGGAGAGTTACTCTACCTCTGTCACACTAGACTTGATATCACTGATAGTGTTGGTCGAGTTGCTCAATATATACATCAATTGTGTGACGGTGTATTGGTTAGCGGTTAAACATATATTGTGTTATTTGAGTGGCACTATGGATTATGGTTTGATGTTTTGTGCTTCTAAATCTCCTCAAACCATACCTGATTTTTTCGGATGGGGATTGGGCAAGTAATTCTGATGATCGTCGTTCTACCTATGATTATTATGTGTTTTTAGGTGACAACCTTATTTTGTGGAGTTCAAAGAAACATAAATCCATTTCTCACTTCACAACATAAATAGAATATCGAATGGTGGTTGATGTTGTTTCTAAAGTAGTTTGGTTACATGTGCTTCTTGATGATATGATTATTATTTGAGTTGATGTTCATGTTATTTGGAGTGATAGTATGAGTGTTATAGTCATGAGTGTCAATCCAGTTTTCATGCTTGATAAGTGCTTAATATTGCATATATTTTTTGTTATTTACTCCTTATTTTCGATTGGATATTATTGATTTATCTTTATTTTGGGTTTATTATAGACAAGAGCTTCGTTGGATTAATTAGCTCAAAAACTAGTAAATTTTGATGGTCCGGTTAGCATATTTTAGAAGACGAGCATAATTATCTTGAATATATAATTTGGAATTTACCTGGGACAATGTTATCCAAAAGATGAAGCAGAATTCAATCAAGACTACATGACTTAAATATTTATTTTTATCTTTTGTGATAAACCTTGTAGATTTAAGATTTTTAGTTTGATTATTATTTTATTTAGAACTTCTAATAGGATTTTTAGTTTGATTATTTTTTTAGGAATTAGTTATTTTATTTACTTAGAACTCTCAAGTTATAAATAAGTTTAATAACTGAAAACAGATAGGAATTTAGTTTTCCTTGTTCATTATTGAAGTTCTACTTTTCTTTCATCTCCACTTTTGTTTCATTATTTTCTTTTATTATTTTCTTTTATTATTTTCTTTCCACAATGCTAAGCATGATTCAATCCATGCTTTATCTAAACTTCCACTTAGCCAAAGGATTTTGAGAAACTCAATTCTAATAGTGAGAATTTAGTCTTCATCTTCATACCTTCAAATTGTATTCTTCGATTCTCTGGAAACTAGGAGTGACAATCGACAACTCCCTTAGAAGTTATTACATCTTCAACTCAAAAGATGCACATTGATTTGAATATTGTTTTGCTTGAAGTTTGGAATTCGAATCTGACTTCCTGTGAACAAACTTAGCAACGATCCATTAAGGGGAATCAAGATCAAGTTTGATTCTCGGTAAGAGGCTATAACTCAAGTCGAGCTTTTTTAGAATTTAAAGCTATTTTGGATCTAACGAAGATAGGTAGCTATACCAACAAGGATCAGATTTTGGAGATAGACTTGGAAATTTTGGTTAACTGATGAGAAGAGTTAGCTACAAGGGTTGGGCCTTGATGACTGTAACCGGCGTACATCACGAAGGGGAAATTTTATATTTCGATCATCGATCGAAATTGAGGCTAATCAAAACCTAAGGTTATATCATCTCTATTGAATTCTTTTAGTTTATTTATTTTCACATTATTTTTATTCAATAATTATTTTTTATTATTCACTTTCATTAATTTTAAACCCCCATTTTTATTTTTACAGTTAAAACTCAATGATCGAAACAAGAAAATTATTCAGACTTCTTTAGTCTCTGTGAATCGACTTCTACTTCTCTATAATACATTTATTATTTATTTGAGATCAGAGTATTTATTTATTTGATAAATTCGACGTTTGTCGATACTCGTTGCAAGCATGTTGAGCTTGATGTGCATTTTGTTCAAGAGAAGGTTGCTGATGAAACTTCGATTGTTAACTATGTCCCTGCTCAATACCAAGTTGCAAATGGGTTCACTAAAGACCTCACCAAACCTCACTTCGTTGATTTTTTGGGCAAGTTTCATGGGATTGGCTCGGTTTAGTCTTGATGAAGTAGGGTGAATGTTAGTGCATGAATATTTATGTAAATGGCTTGAGGGTTGGTTAGGTTTTGAGTACTAGTCTCGTTTTCTAGAATTGTGCTATTTTGGTAAGTTACTTATGCAACTGTAAATAGCTAGGTGGTGAGGACTTTGCATGACATTGTGTATAAATATGCATTGTCTCGTGGAATAACAACACTGAGCACTATTCATAGTAAAAAAATAACCCTAAATATAACAAAAATTTATCTAAAGAAGCTCTCTGTCATCATATACAAGTGAGGGAATTATTGGTTTTTTGGAAGCGATAAGAGGGGTTCTCCAAAATTATGGTGTGAATGGGGTAGTAGATGTTCATATTTATTTGGGTCACATTACATTCCTGTCCCATTGAGCTTATTATATGAAACTTTCGGTTTAAGTTTAGTGATTGAACTTCTATATTCTACATCGTAAATGCAACTTTTCCTATATTCAATACTGAGGCAGCTAGTTTCAGGGTTATGTAGTAATAGTAATGGTTGGCAGGTCTGGCCTTGTTTTGCTTCAAATTTATTTCAGTTACAAGTGTTGTGTATTGATGAAAGTTAGGGTCGTTAATTTTTATTTAATATCTTGTATCGGATATTGTATGATCTTTCTGTCTTGGCGATTTTAATTAGTTTTGGACACTCTTTTCCTCTTTCGTTATTTCGATTTCGTTTGTGTTCAATTGAGTTACAGGGATTTTAACGAGGTCCTCTTACTTTTCAAAAAAATTAATATTTTTATTAAAATGATACTAAAATAAATTTTTTATTAATATAAGGTAAGTACAAGATAATATATGTTTAAAGATAATTTTCAATCATATGTCGAATGCTCGCACCTCTAGCATTCCTGGTGCCGAACCCGATACCTCAAGAAATAACATTATTCAGACCAAAAATCATTTTTTTTAAAAATATAAAAAATTCTATTAATTAAGGAAATATTTTTCATTGATGCATCAAATTTTCTCCAACCAAATATTAAAAATTAAAAAATATTTTTAAAAAAATATTTCACGTGAAATAAATATACCTAAAATATCGTTGATAAAAATAAATTGCGAGGTAACGATAGATGTAAGTTTCAATATTGACATGAATGGAGCTGCGCAATTGGATCAACTTGCTAATAACTACAGCCGACAATAAATGAATGACATCCCTTTTAAATTATTGGTATTGACAACACGAGCAACTATGAACGTGCAAAACTGGCATGGAACTACTTCATTTTATTCTTTGGTTTACTCCATTCAGATAATATGATTAATTAAAATATCAAAAACAATATATATTTAAATAAATGTAATTGTTTTATTATTTTATTTAAAATATAAGAAAACATTTTAAATAATTTAAATATTATATAAAAGTAAATTGGAAGTTAATGAAATAAACCACTTTATATGGTTATCTCAATGATTAGTTTGATCCCCTTTTGATTACATTTTCAATATTTACTGCAATTGTTATCCAAATAACTATGACCAAAAAGTCATTTGTAGACTTTAATCAACGATAGAAGATATTAATTTAAAACAATTTTATACACAAATAATTTCGGTGATAAAGAAATAATTATTTTTAAAATTTTAAGTTCAAACATTAAAATATTATGTGTATAAGTATTTAACATTAAATAATTAGAAATTATCTTTAAATATATTATCTTGCTGTTATCTCAAATTAATAAAAAAAATAAACTAAACACAGGCGGACACGTGACCCTCTTGTCCATCTTGAGAATCCGCAAAGCTGCCTTTGTCTTTTGTTGGTGTTTTGGCACCTACCTTTAGCTTGCTATCTTTAAACTAGACCGAGGTTGCTATCTTTAGCTTGCCTTTCGCCCTTTCTCTATTTCAATAGAGTTACGTCACCTCTTTAGTTTTATTAAACATGGTTAGGCGGCAGAACGGGGTGCCCTGATTCCACCGCCATACCCCAAACCTCTACTTGTTAATTAATAATAGCCAACCAACCTCACGAATGAGCTTCACTTCTTTTGTCTTTTTTGAACGTAGTATAATTTTTTTACCAATGATAAACATCACATCTGTATTATTAAACTGAAACGTACTCAAACTTATCAAGGATCTGCAGCGGAATTTATAAATAATAATAAATAAATAAAAGTGAAATCTGGCCTTGGCTCTTAAACTCTGGGTGACAGTAGAACTTGGATCATTTTGTCCAGATTCCTGTAAGACGACCCATCCGGATTGGCTATGGACTCCTCTGCTTTTCTCTTCCAATCCAGAGTTCTCTTCTTCATCTCTTTGCCCTTTTCTCCTTTGACCAACTCTCTAACAAGGCTCTCAACTTCATCCCTGTTAACATCATTGTCGATTTCCATGCCCACTCCCCATTTAGTGCATGAATACCAACAATTCGTTTGTTGCTCAGCGAAAAACGGCCAACATGTCATGGGAACGCCGGCGGATATACTTTCAATCGTGGAATTCCATCCGCTGTGTGTTAAGAATCCTCCAATAGAAGGGTGGGTCAGAACTTGTTCTTGAGGGCACCATGTTGCCAATATCCCTCTATCTTTGGTCTCCTCTACGAACTCTGCCGGCACAATTGCCGACTCACCACCCACAAGGTCGGGCCTGATGACCCACAAAAACGGTTGCTTGCTGTTGGCTAGCCCCCAAGCAAATTCAATCAACTGGTCGGATGTCATCACAGTGATGCTCCCGAAATTCACGTAGACGACAGAGTTGGGATCTTTCGTGTCTAGCCATTGGAGACACTGGGGCTCTTCCTTCCAAAGATTGGATCCTATTTGTTTCAATTCATTGTCATGCACATGATGCTTCAAAGCAAGATGCAGAGGGCCCACGGAGTAAACAGGAGGTAGAACTGAGTTGAGAGATTCCAAGACTTGATGCTCCAAATCATCAAATGTATTCAGTATTATTGCTGAGGCCTTGCGAGATCTTTCGGTCTCACGGAAAACAAAATCAAGCATAATGAAATTCGGGTCAGTTGTCCTTAGGAAAGTAGGTAGATCCTTCAACCGGATACCTTCCATTGCCGGTATCCAGTCTATGACGGTATCCAAGTATCCGTTCGCTAAATAGCTCTCGTCTGCAAATTCAAGATAACAATATATAATTGACCAACTAACATCAATGGCGCCGACGATTAAAATGAAAGATTTGTTAAGCCAAAAAGAACCTTGAACAAGTAATTACCTTTGAGAGGCGTATAACCCTTTTCCTTTAGTTGACGATAGTGGACATAACCGAGGAAGCCACAAGCGCTTGTGGTCCAAAACAGAACTTCAGGGACGCCAAGTTCTTCAGCCGCATCAAGAGTGAAGCTCATACAACCGTCCGAAACAATGCAAGAAACAGGAGGAACATCGGATGTGGAGGAGGAGTGGTTTAGCTTGTGGATAAGTTGTTTAAAGTAGGGTAAGCAAGTTTTACTGGTAGAATCGCAGAGGGAAGGAATGTCTTGGGTGGCATCGACATCCGTTGGCGGGAGGCCGTCGGGAATGGTTTCGAAACGAAAAGAAGGGAGACCATCAAGAGCATGAGGTCCTCGGGACCTAAGTAAGCGCTTATGGTTAAACTCGGTGTTGACGAAGGTGATATAGAAGCCCCTGCTGTGAAGAACCTTAGCTAGCATTAGCATGGGATTGATGTGGCCTTGAGCAGGATAAGGAACACAGACTGCATGAGCCTTATCTGTGAAATTCAAAGAACCCATTTCCAATCTTCCAAACTTAAACACTACAGACGAAGGGTATTGTTTATGTAGAAAGAGATTCAAGACCTTGTTTTAGCCTTTCGAAGTGGGATAATTTGCAAGGAAAGCTTTGAGGTGAAGGGGAAGCAGGAAGACCCCCTTTTTATAGGGCTTTGAAGTCGAATAAAATAAGCCTAGCATACCCTGGCAGTAAATATTAAATTATTAAAATGGGTGCTCCAAATATTCAGCGAAGAAAAGTCAAAACAAATCACTGATGCAGACGGAGTGGGTATGCAAATGCGGTTGAAAGAGAGTAAAAGGACGAAGGAGCGGCGTAGATTTGAAGGCTAACATTATTTTTCAGTGGTGAACTTTGAGGTGTCGCCAGCACTTGCTGGGCTCAATGGCTGAGTCGGTTCCGGCAACTTTGACAAAAATATGAACACGGCATTCTCCATTCCAATAGTGAATTTTATTGTATTTTAATGTTGAATCATCAAAGAGCTTTTCGTTTGTGTATGATTGTGTTTTGTCGACCGATTTGAAAAATATATTCTTCGTCTTTTTAATTATGCATTATATCGAATTATAATTATTTATAATATAAATGCGTTGTATATTTTTAATTAAAATGGGAACTGAACTGGTGATAATTTTTTTGTTTTTAAATTTACAATTCTTGTTTTCACCATAAAATTTACTAATGACAAAACATTAAATAATTATCTTAATTTCAATTCAAAATTTCAAATTTCAAATGGAGCATAAATAAAAACGTTCAAGAGTAGATGAAAAATAAATTTATTCTGTAGAATGCTGAGAAAACTAGTTTAAAATAAGATATTCTAATTATAGTGAATTTTCACTTGAATAATTGGCCAAAAATTAGGAGGATGAATACGATACATGACTAATATTATGTTAGATCCTGCTAAATATGTCATTTTCATCAATAATTTATCGTAAACATGATGGACACGATGTATGTCGTAAAACTACTATTTTCACACGGCTTCCCCCCGGAATTTTACAATTAATAAAAAATAAACTTAAATTATAGTTATATTAAATATGGAATCATTATTACTTAAATAATTCTATATTTTACTATTTTGAGTTAAATAAGGGTAAATTATAACCATTAACATTAAGTTATAGGTTGATTTCAATCTAATCTTCAATCTTTTAATTTTATCAATTAGACTACTTAATTATTTAAATGATACCAATTAAATTACATGTCATTTACATTTAGTCCTCGTTACTTGTATATTTTATCAATTTATTCTTAATTTTAAATTAATTCAATAAATTTAATCCTCTAATCATACGATAATGCACGTCACTATTTGGTTGAAGATTATTTTCTTAACTTTAATTCTTTTAATTCAATTTGGCCCTCAAACTCAATAAAAAAAATTTTAGCTCATCCATCATATCATCAACCATTATAGGCAGTCACATAAACAATGTTAATTACCACATCGTCATCGTAATGATCAATGACAAAAATCATTGGTCAAACGATCATATTGAGTGTAAAATAGTTCGACGGCACATTAATTTTTCTAGAAAAATTTGAGGGCTTCATATACCATTAACACTATTTTTTTTAGAAGTTTGTTAGTTTATAAGTTTACCTTTATTGGTAAAATCTACCGGCTTAGAAATAATTTCATCTCGATGTGTGTAATCATTGTATTAAACGTTCGTGCTCTGAAGTTAATATGGTAGCTCCGAATAATTGTACATCCCAAAAATTGTACACCCCAAAAATCAAAGTGGCATAGCGGTGGTATTGATCTTCTCTTAACACTGAAGAATAAAACGAGATACTTTGAAAAAGTATTTAGAGAGTAGAAATCATTAGGAAATTAGAAATTGAATGATTTTTAAGTGAGTTGAAATGCTGGCTAAACCTGACCACAAAATAATCCAGGTTCGAACGAAAAATTATTTGTTAAAACATCTATTGTATTAGCTAAAATTAAGTCTCATTGATTAGTTGATAATATCATCAATTAATATGTTGTCTACAAGAATTATGGTTCAAATTTGACCTCAAAGATGTCTAGGTTCAACCATCGTAATTCAACAGTCAAATTAATCACTACAGCAAAAATGGTTTTTTGCGGCATTTTTTTACCTATAGCGGTGTTTTTAAGCGCCGCAAAAAACACGTATGGCGTTATGAAAAACGCCGCAAAATGCGCCGCTAAAGTTCGCGGCGTTTGTTAATAAAATATGCCGCAATAGGTAACGATATATAGCGGCGTTTGTCTAACAAACGCCGCAATAGGTACTGATATTTAGCGGTGTTTGTCTTAAACACGCCACAATAGGTGTCAATATTTAGCGGCGTTTTTATTACAAACGCCGTAATATGTATATGCGTGAATTGATTATATGAAAGGATACATGACATACATAAATGATAAGTACAAGATCATATGATAAATAGGTTAATGATTATGATAGAGATCATGATAATGATGGTATATGTGCATGTATATATTTTGTTATATGAAATGTTTTATGGTTTCCATTATATGTTTATATGCCTCACTAAGTCGTAGACTTAGCGTGTAATTGTTTCACACGTAAGTTTCGAGATGAATAAAGAGCAATGTGGAGCAAGACAAGTCAGTTGCTTCTTACCGAAGATCATATCAGAAAAGAATTTTAAATCATATGTATTTTGGATAGTGAAAGTAGTTGGCATGTAATTAATGTTTTAAATGGTATATGATCTGACAAGTTTTGTAATGTTTTAAACGTAAAAATGTAAATGGTAAATATATAGTAATGAACAGTTAAATTTTTACAAGTTTTATGAACGTTTTACGAAAGTTACTGTAGCAGTGCATCGATACACAATTTATATTCAAATTTTTTCACTGTTCATGGTATTGTTCACGGTACTGTTCATACCATATAGTATTGTTCACAAATACGTATTGTTTTCAAATTTTTATAATGAAGCATAATTTAGTAGTATTTTATTTTATTTTCTTAAAATAAGTTCAAATGTTTTGCTATTTTACAAGAATAATGTTTCAAAAAGTCAATGTGACATATCGGACTCGTATTCAGGTCGGATACGGGTTGGGGTGTTACACTTGGAGTTCCGTATACAGTTAAACTCATAAAAACTTAGTAACATGACCTTTGTGACTTATTTTGTAAAACATTTTAAAATTGTATTTTTATTTATGACCCATCAACAGTCAGAGGTTTAAAAATCAAAAGCTCTGATACCAACTAAATGTAACACCATAGACCCAACTTATGCGTTTGACTAGATCTAGCGGATTACAATAAAAATTTCCAAAATATATTCCAAACAGTTTTCGGTAATTTAAATCCACATTATAAATAATATCTTTAAATAAACATAGTTAATAACGATAAAAATAAACTGTAAGTGACTGTGTAAAATAAAATATGTCATAATTCGTATCGTAATAAATCTAACATCAGTAACAAAAGCAGTAATTATCATAAAAATAAGTATTTCAAAATAATGGCATATATCACCGTAAATTAGAGCAGTTCAGAAGATAAAAACATTACAACAAAATATTATGTCTCCAAGTGCCAGGACCGCGGTGCATATCCAAAAGTATTTGATAAGGGGAAAAGTTTGAAAATGTGAGCTAGGGAGCTCAACGTGTTCCAATGGTGCAAGTAAAACGTAATGGGTAAAATAATAAAGAAATAACTCAATAAAGTATCATAAAAGTCATAGTGAAGTTTAAATTCTAACACTCATAATTACCTTCCTCCTGTACATCAAAATACAGTTCCCTAGAACTGTATCCTTAAGGGTTTACCTTATACCCATTAGGTATATGTGCCAACCTAAGGATCATATTTGGGCCTATCCAAGAAAGTTCTCGGGGACTCGGAGTCTACCCAAGGGTCGCCTTAGATCCATAAGGAATTACCAACTTGATCAGAGTTGAACCTTCATACTTTATTATCCTACCCAAAACAATATCTCATTAAAACAATTCACACAGTAAACAATGAATTCAATGATCCATAATTCGACATAATCATATCTTTCAATGAAAACATGTAATCAAATAACATATATCAGATAGTCATGGTTCATAAATAGTCAACTCGTAAATCAGTAAATCAATAAATCAGTAATTTTGGTAAATCACATATCAAAACAGATAAAACAATCATATAGCACATGAAACACACCTAGCAAAATGGAATCAATCGGCAATCTACTGAGCACCTGTCTCACCACGCTCTAGAGCAATGCTCGAACCAAGTTCATAATAAAATGAGTTAACATCGATGTAAAATTTTAATATAAGTTTTCATAAGATTCATGGGTCCTATGAGTAATCAATGGCTCACGAGGTCGAACGGATTGAGAGGAGCTGGGTCAAGCTGTTGAACGGTCGGGAGAGTCTCGTGTACCTTCAAATAACAATATCTTAGACCAATCATTAACCTTAATTTAATTAGTCTTAAATAAATTAATTAAGTACATATGCATATTCGAGTTTAACGTGTCAATTCAAAGGATTTCATGTTTAAATTTGCCAAAATGGACATCGGATTCGAACTCAGGACATCGAAAATCAAAAAAACGACTTTTCAAAAATTTTGACTTTTTTGTTAAAGTCAACGGTCAAACTTATCAAAAGTCAACGATTTGGCCAAAGTCAATGAGTTATATCGATTTGGGTTGCTTCAGGTTGACTCAGTTCAGTCTGAGTTGTACCCGATCAGTTCAAATCTATTCGGGTCGGTTCAGATCGATCGAACCATTCTAGAAGATTTTCTTGACTGACAACGCTTGAGGACGGCGACAGGGTCGGGGGCAACAGTCGAACACTCCGAGATCACCAAAACATCATTTTCAACATATATTAGACCCAAATCAGTCAAAAACCACAACCAACAACCAATAAAAATAATATCGAAACTTACCCAACGGTAGACGAACGGAGGAGCATCATCGGACGACCAACCCGGTTTGATTTTGGTCAGAGATGAACGGGGAACACAGTGCTAGGTGCGGTGAGGCAAACTGACGTCGGGTTTGATCGGAATCGAGAAAGATAAGAGCGACGATGTTTTGGGTTTCGAAAAACCCACGAT